GAATGAACCACTAATGGGAGCTCTTTGTCCATCTCTTTCTCTTGCTCTCAGTCTTGATCTCTGTCCTGTGCCTCCCAAAAACATAAATAAAACTTCTTACAAGAAGAAAAATACTGTACAAAAATAAATTTAAAGGTATTTAAAATTTTCTCTTAAATGTAATAATTAAAATTGGGGAGGGCTGGGCCGGTGCCCTGGCTCACTTGGTTAATCCTCCGCCTGCGGTGCCTGTATCCCATATGAATGCCGATTCTAGTCCCGGCTGCTCCTCTTCCAGTCCAGCTCTCTGCTGTGGCCCAGGAAAGCAGTGGAGGATGGCCCAAGTCCTTGGGCCCCTACACTCATGTGGGAGACCAGGAAGAAGTACCTGGTTCCTGGCTTTGGATCAGCGCAGTGCCAGCCATAGCGGCCATTTGGGGAGTGAACCAACGGAAGGAAGCCCTTTCTCTCTGTCTCTGTCTCTCACTGTCTACAACTCTACCTATCAAATTAAAAAAAAAAAATTGGGGAGGGCTGCACTAACTAACTAAGGCAGTATTCTATGCCACCATGATCCATGACCTATTTCTATTTTTTAAAATTGTTTAATTCATAACTGCACTCTCAAAAAGCACAGGTAATCATTCAAAACTATAAATCTCATTTATTCATGAGTATCTCATTATTCCAAAATGTATTTTTAAGAATAAATAATTTTGGGGCTGGCACTGTGGTGTAGCGGGTATAGCTGTTGCCTGCAGTGCCAGTGCCCCATATGGCTGCCTATTTGAGACCCGGCTGCTCCACTTCTGATCCAGCTCTCTGCTATGGCCTGGGAAATCAGAAGATGGCTCAAGTCCTTGGGGCCCTGCACCTCCATGGGAGACCCAGAGGCAGCTTTTTTTCCTGGCTTTGGATTGGCACAGGTCTGGCCATTGGGGCCATCTGGGGAACGAACCAGCAGATGGAAGACCCCCCCCCACCCCGCCCGCACGCCCTCTCTCTCTCTCTCTTTGCCTCTGCCTCTTTGTAATTCTTTCAAATAATAAATAAATAAATCTTTTTTTAAAAAAAGGAAAAATAAGTAAACCCTTTAAGAGTAGTATTCATCACTGGGGAAAACTGGAATTAAACACTCAATATGATGTAAATATGACATTTGAAAATTATTCTAAGATGAAAAGAAAAACTTAGCTTCATTCAATTTTATAATAATAGTTGCTATTACAGCATATTCCCAAACTACTCATTAATCTTCTTTCCCCAGACCCACACATACTCTGCACTGGTAATATCAGGACACCACTTCCTGCACAAAGGAGAGTCATTTTCAACTAAGTTTAACTGGATTTAGACAAAGTCCTCCTTGTGTGTGCTTTGAGTAAAAGTGAGATTTGGTGGTAAGTACACCCTCTTTCTTGCGTCACTTTTCTTCTGTAATCCACAATAAATAATTAAGCTGTCTTTGACGTAACACTTATCACTAACAGTCACCATAAATCTTTACCTCACATATATCATTTCCAAAGCACCTCATAACAGGAACAATTGCTAACAGTTAAAAGGTTCTTACTGTGTGCCGCATAATATTCTGAATGAACGTCACATACCAACTCAGTTAATTTTCACAACTCTTTGATATAGGAATTATCCTCATATTACAAATGGGGAAACTGAGTCAAGGACAGACTCTGATGTACCCAGGAACAAATGGCTAATGATGGGTAGAGCTGATAGAAAATATAACAGTCAAAATGGGAGGGCACCACATATCCCCATGTCAGATGCCTCAGCGATCAAACTAGAACAGAACTGGGGCCCACTATAGATGTTCACCTTTCTTGACTACATTAGGACAAGATGAGAGGGTTATCAAGAGAGATTAAAATCTACAAAGCATGACCAAAAGGCTAACTCCACAATAAGCTGGGGAGCATACAGAAATCATAACCAGGAGTTGTGGTAAACTTGGCCATTTTCACAACGCAAAGCATGACAAGGCAGGTGACCTGATGTGACAGACTAAATCCAGCCAACTTGAGAATGTCTACTTTAACTATCATTCATCCCTCAAACTGATTACTGTTTTATCTTCATGTCTTACTTGATTCCCCAAGCAGCCTTCTCAACCAGGAAAACACTGGTCCACAAAAATCCTTTAACTCACTAACACAAAGACACCTTCTCTAACTGAAGAGCAAAAATCAGTCTTATGAAGGCCTCAGTATCCCCAGTACAAACTTATTGAGTTTCCAGGTTAGAAGAACTTAAAGGCCCTCACAGTGGAGTACAAAGAATCATGACAAACTTAACGAGCCTGTCCACTGAGGTCCTCAACATCCACTGTACCCTGGGGACAGACTAGACAATCACGCTCGAACGAGAGCACTTCATGTAACAGACAGCATCAGGGTATACATCTAATCATCAGGTTCATGAGGAAACTGCCCCTTCCATGTTAGGCATTTCTAGACAGCTGGAAATTCTCTTTTCTAACCAAGAAAACACATATGTCTTTTAAGGAATTAACTTCAAGAATCTTTCACTGAAAATATTGAGAAATGTTAAGTACCCAGTCACCACTAATGTTTGTATTCATGAACCCCGAAAAAACAAAGAGAAAAGGCAACAACAACTTTTATGTGACTCAGAAAAGTCCCTAATGAAAAAAGCCTACCAATATCAATGGCTTCTTCATAAAAAGGATAATACTGTCAGGAAATACTCATGATCAAATTTACAGTTGACTACCCCAACGGTTTCATGTCATTTCAGAACAAGGAACATAAACTCACAGATATCAAATAAAACACAAACAGAGAGAAAGAATACCTCAAGTTCCACCAGAGCTGCAGTCACTGCATCTGTCGCAAGAGCACCAGCTTGTAGCTTTTCAATTGCCTATGAAACCAAGGGCAGAAATTATTCATTATAAAACCACAACTTCTCAGGCATACCCATACACTTAAAGAAGTACAGAAGATGTTTAGAGTCAATAAAAACTTATCACTAAATCCAATCCATACTCCAAGACATAAACAAGCCAGTATTCCATATGCAGGCTAATTTATGATGTAGTTTATTCAATATTATCTAAATTAAGAAAATAGAATATAACCGCAAAATGCAAAGTACCAGGAATTTAATAAGTGAAAGGGTTTCATTTATCACAGGGCAATTCAAAACAGTTGCAGAAATTGCACAAATTCAGTTTTGTTCAAATAGCCTGACAATGCACATTTTGTATAGATAACTGAATCCCAGACTAAACTAGCGATTTCTTCATCCACTTTTCCACTCTCCCCACCTACATGGATTAAAAATTCAGTCATAAAGCCATATCAGAATCCATAAATGGAAGCATACATTTGACAAACATAGTTTTGATACTATTATATCTATTATACCAAGATTAAAAGATCATAATCTTTTCCAATACAAACTATGGAGAATAAAACTATAAAATCACCTTACTTCCTTGGGTACAAATAAAGAGAGGAAAAGGAAAGAAGGGAAAGCAGCCTGGAAAATTATTAAAACCCTTATTTATTCAATAAATACAATGTTTTAAGCTAAAAACTATACTACTAATTAAACATTTTTTTCATTAAACTTTTAAGAGGCTCACTTGTTATAGAAATTCAGGAGGCTAATTACACAATCCAAATGTATTAGATTTCCAGGACTACAGTTGTATAAAAAGAAAACATTTCTTTTCAAATAATGAAAAAATTCATCCTTTGAAAAATAAGAAAAAGCATAAAATAGCTTAAAGAACTCTTAGCCTTATTATATTTTTCACAATATACACAGACATAAGCATTCAATAATCCCTCAAATGGTTGTTTTCAGTCTCACTCTGGCAGTCTTGAAAAACTTGCACTCTTAAATGACCTTTATTAAAGTTATCAACAAACCACTAATGGAGTTACCTCAGAAAAATCTTGGTGTAAAATATACCTCAATTCCTGAGATCAGGAAAATTTTTTAAGGGAAATACTTGATTTGCCTCACAACACGAGGGCTACATCAAGTGGTCCCAAGCTCTTTTTAGCTACAGTAACACTGCTAGAGTTCTTAGTTTATTGCGATTATTCTAAATTGAATAATTTATTGAATATCAATTTATTCTAAATTGAATATTACTCTAAATTGAATATTGGCGCTCTCACTGTAGGTTCTCCATTCAAAGTGCATTTTAAGTAGAAGGGAGGGGTTTGAGTAAAGAAATCAAATTTTGCCAGACAAAAATTATTGTAACAAATGCAGAAATGGTTATAGCTTACCCTGAATTCAGGAGGCTTAATTAAAATACAGTGGGACAGAGTCTATAAATACACACTCCTGTTAGGTTGTTAGAGACAAGTTGAAGAATGAGATGGTATAGCAGACAGTGGCCCTTAGAACAGGTATTAGAGATTCACAGATAACTTCATGTGACATCTTTATGTCCTCATCTGGTATTTATACAAAATGGATCAATCAACTGCTGAAACAGCTCCCAATTTGAATATTTTTCAGGCACAATCTAAAACACACTCAGAAATCTCCTTCCACATCAGCTAGCTAAGCAAGAACTTAAGGGCTATGTAGTTTGCCCCCAACAATGTGAAAGACAGCTTTAATGTTAATCTCAGTTTTTATCGCTCTGCTTGTACCTTAACTATGGCATAATAGATTTGCTAATTCAAAGGCTGATGGAATCAGGAATCCTGTTACCTATAGATCATTTGAGGTACTTTTTACGCTTGAAAGCATTTTCTTGTATTCTATCAATATCTCTGAAGACGTGCGCTGTAAAAGGCCAAGGAGAACACATAGGGTCTGTCGTTCAGGAAGATCTCTGGAGGTCAACACAGCACTGCAGACAGAAGGATCCAGGTAGGATGGTTCCTGCTCTGCCTTGCCCCTCAGCAAAACCACTTAGTTGCTGACCCTTTAAAACTCCCATTTCTCACAGTTCTGGATGGTGTGGCAGTCCTGATGCTCAGGGCTCTGCTTTGGGGCACCATGTTCTGTGGCTATCTGCAACCTTGGGACAGCGCAGGCAAACACTCTTCAGTAGAAGCAGAAAACAGATGCACGATCCTGCTAGGAGCAGCTGTTGAAGCTGGATCTCTTCCTACTCGTTCTTGCAAACATGGGGGCACTTCGTGAAGCAAGAGGCCAGCCTTGCTAGGATAATTTTTCATTTCCAATGATGTCTTATTCTGCGAATTTCCACTGACATCCGCCACAGGCTTATTCATCCAGGAAGGCAGATCTGCTACACAAAGGCTCTTTCTGTGCTTTCTTAAGTGTATGTGGGAGCATGTCCAAGTTGTCTCCTTCCTCCTTTACTTTGGCCAGGCAGGTGCCCAAGGGTCCCTCTTCCATCCGTATGCTTGGTGCCATTTGACTCGGTAAGCAGGTCATGGCTTTGTCAAGGCCAGGGAATCAATGGATCTCAATATGATCCTGTGGAGCACCACACAGATCATGATGCAGAGGTAGCGGAAGTTGACACACAGCTGCCAGGCCAAGTAGAAGATGAGCAGCAGGGCTGGAGCTGTGGCACAGCAGGTAAAGTCACCGCTGGCATCCCAGATGAGCACCAATTCATGTCTGGCTGCTATACTTCTGATCCAGTTCCCTGCTAATGGCCTGGAGAAAAGCAGCAGAGAATGGCCCAAGTGATTGGGTCCCTGCTACCCATGTGAGAGACCTGGAAGAAGTTCCTGCCTCCTGGCTTCAGCCTGGCCCAACCCCCTGTTGTTGCTGCCATCTGGAGAGTAAGCCAGTGGATGGAGGATCTCTTTCATTCTCTCTCTCTCTCTCTCTTCCTCTCTCTCTCTTCCTCTCTCTCTCTCTCTCTCGCTCTCGCTCTCTTCCTCCCTCTCTCTGTAACTCAGACTCTCAAATAAATAAATAAACCAATCAGTCATGCCTGAAAGAGCTTCTACCATAGATAGGCAGTTACACTGGCCCCTAGCCTGCCACCCGCCCTCTCCACACTGCATTGCCCCAGGCCTGTAGCCCAACCTCTAGCCTGCGCTGGGCATACTCAGGGAGCAAAGGAGGCAATGATAAGGCCAGAGGGCAGGAGGGTGGGGGACTAGCTTTATTATCAACTTGAAAAACACAGTAAAACCCTAGAACAAAATATTCTTATTTATGGGATTTCATTCATAAGAAAAAGCTTGGATCTCTAATAAAGTATAATCTTTCTAAATGAAAAGAGCTTAGAAAGACCCATATTTACTTGATACACAGTATCCAATTAACATTCTATTTGCATAAAAAGTAATGGAAGGTTTGTTTACAAGAGTATATAATCAGGATCAAAATAAAAACAAACAGTGTTTCTTCTGAGTCCATTCCTACTCCCACATTAATTATTGAATAATTTAGCAAAACCTCAAAAACCAAAGAGGAAAAAAGCACAACTGAATACAAGGATAAAGCTAAACTCAGGAATGACAATGGATTTGCTGGGATACAAATTACATGATGAAAAACAGAAGGAAAAAAGTACAGGATAATCTAAGAAAAGCACCCACTTTAATTTTTTAATTATGTTTTTTCTTTCCTTCATGGAAAGATACAACAGCTGCCTTTAAGCTGTTTTCCCTACCCCTTCTATAGAGTACAACCAAAGATTACAAGAGATATGATTATGTGCCCACAATTCCAAAAATATAGACTTTAATCTGGGGAAGGAAGGGAAAGAACTAAGCTTCATTCAGAAATTGAAGGAAAACCAGACCTACAAATATGAGCAAAACAATTTGTGTTCCAAACCAAAGACTGCCCTATAAATGAAATCTTAAAATTTGGAATTTCAAGGTAAAGCTCCCTTGTGTTCCAAACATTTACACCCTACACGTTCTGTTCATACCTTCTGACAAGCTCGTTTGCATACATGTTTATATTCCTTGGCTTTGGACTCAGAATGATAACCTGCACCTAGAGTAGAGAAACAAAAACCAATTGTTAAGTTATCCTCATAATATCAGAGTTCTTGCTTATTTATATAAGTACTCCATAAAACTGATGCCATCCTAGTGAAAATAAACCTATTGCCCATATTTTATAGGTTTTTGAAGATCTAATAGCTTCTTTCTCCACCATAAGCCATACCTATATTCTTTCTCAAAAGCTCTTCTGGCCAGAGGCCCCAGAAATGGTTCATATCCCAAAATCACCTCCTCTCCTCCTTTTGAAAACCTCTTTCCTAGCTATGACTTCTTTTGATCTGGAATTGATAATCCAGGTATGTCAGAAATAATGCCCCTTTGGAGCCAGCATTCTGCTAAAGCAGGTTAAGCCACCATCTGCAATGCCAGCCTCCCATATGGGTACCAGTTTAAGTCCTAGTTGCTCCACTTCCAATCCAGCTCCCTGCTAATGTGTCTAGGAAAGCAGCAGAGGATGACCCAAGTCCTTGGGACCCTGCACCCATGCGAGAGGCCCAGGGGAAACTCCTGGTTCCTGGCTTCAGGCTAGCCCAGCTCTGGCCACTGCAGCCATTTGGAGAGTGAACTAGTAGATATATGATTTCTCTCTGTCTCTCTACCTCTCTCTCTCTCTGCAACTTTACCTTTCAAATAAATTACATAAATTAAAAAAAAAAAAGAAAGAAAGAAAAAATAAGGTCCCTTCTCTATTGGCCTTCAAAAAGCTCCTGCCACAGGACCAGCACTGTGGTATAGGAGGTGAAGCCACCACCTGCAGAGCTGGAATCCCATGTGGGTGCCAGTTCAATTCCCGACTGCTCCACTTCAGATCCAGCTCCCTGCTAGTGGCCTGGGAGAGCAGCAGAGAATGGCCCATGTGCTTGGATCCTTGCACCCATGAGGGAGATCCTGGCTCCTGACTGCAGCTGGGCCCAGCCCTGGCTGTTGCAGCCATCTGGAAAGTAAAGCAGTGGATGAACAACCTCTAACTTTCAAATAAATAAGTCTTCAAAAAAAATTTGGAAATTACTGTTTAGAATCCAGAATTCTTGAGGCCAGTGCTGTGCATAGTAGGCTAAGCCTCCGCCTGCTGTGACAGCTTCCCATATGGGCACCAGTTTGTGTCCTAGATGCTCCTCTTTTGACCCAGCTCTCTGCTTATGGCCTGGGAAAGCAGTAGAATATGGCCCAAGTGCTTAGGCCCCTGCACCCATGTGGGAGACCAGAAGAAGCTCCTGGCTTTAGATTGGAGGGACGCCAGGCGTTATGGCCATTTGGGGAATGAACCAGTGGATGGAAGACCCTTCTCTCTGTCTCTCCCTCTGTCTGTAACTCTCAAATAAATTTAAAAAAAAATCAAAAAAAAAGAAAGAAAGAAAAAAGGAATCCAGAATTCTTAAGAGTAACTTTAGAGAGGATGGTGTCGTGGTGCAGCACGTTAAAGCCCCAGCCTGCAGAGGCCAGTGCTGTGGCACAGTGGGCTAAGCCTCTTCCTGCAGTACCAGCATCCCATATGGGCGCCGGTTCATGTCCCAGATGCTCCTCTTCCAATCCAGCTCTCTGCTTTGACCTGGGAAAGTGGTGGAAGATGGCCCAAGTGCTTGGTGGCCCCTGCATCCAAGTGAGAGACCCAGAAGAATCTCCTAGCTCCTGGCTTCAGATTGGTTCAGTTTCCATTGTGGCTATTTGGGGACTGAACCAGTGACTGGAAGGCCTTTCTCTCTATCTCTCCCTCTCTCTGCAACTCTACTTCTCAAATAAATAAAATGTTTTTTAAAAAAAATTTTTTTTAAAAAAGCCCTGGTCTATAGCATCACATCCCAAATGGATGCTGGTTCAAGCCCTAGTCGCTCCACTTCCAATCCAGCTCTCCACTAATGTGCCTTGGAGGATGGCCCAAGTCCTTCCACCCCTGTACCACGTGGGAGATCTGGAAGAAGCTCCTGGCTCCTGGCTCCTGGCTTCAGAACAGCTCAGCTCCAGCCATTGGGGCCATTTGGGGAGTGAACCAGCAGATGGAAGATTACTCTGTCTTTACCTCTTTCTGTAATTCTGTGTTTCAAACAAATAAAATCTTTAAAAAAAAAAAAAAAAGAGTAACTTCAGAAAACCAGGTATAGCTCCTGAAAAGCATTTGAGTTTGAGGGGTTGCACATCCTACACATCTTACCCACCCACAACCAATGGAGGCAGGCATATAGGATAAAATTGATTAGTTTTGTGAGCTGGAAGGCCATGCCTTCACCACGCCCTTGTGTGATCTCATCCCCCACTTGACCCCACCTACCACTCAGGCTATGTGAACACTCCCCTTTGGAAGTGGGTAAAAGGCCTGAAACAGGGTAGGCCAGGCCCTTTTTCCCTTTTTGCCGTTATGGACCTTTGTTGCTCTTGTTGCCTCACGCCTTCAGGGCACGAGGCCTCCCGTGCTCTCTGCCTTAGCTTTGCTGCCTGTGAGAAGCTGCTGGTGTTAGCTGCTCTTAACCAAAGGCTTGCTGCACGTGGCTCTCGGCCTGCTCTCTGCTCAGCATGGACCCCAACTTAATTTTCGGACTTTTCTTTCTCCTTTAGATAAAGCCATCACTCTCCTGTGCATTTCTCTCACTAAATGAGAAGCCTAAAAACTTACCATGCTTCCTGGTCTATTTGAGGCAGTATTCAGAATTCTCTGAATTTATGGCAAGAACCCATAAGGCTTATTAATTTCAGGAAATACTAATAGAGCAAATCGGTTTCACAACCACCAACACCATCACCCCTACCCAAGCACTTTTACATGCTCTTACTCCCTGTTATGTAGCTCAGGGTATCTCTGAAGCCTCAGAATAGCAGATTCACTGTCTATAGGAGATCCTGAACTGTTGTTTAAAGTCTCAGGGACCCCAGTCTTCTGGCAGTATTTTTCAAAGCATGGGATACTACTGCCAAATAGATAACTTCCATGTATGGATAAGGGCATTAAGTAATGTGATCATGTAAATTTTTCTGATTAGCATAGGGGAAAAGTCTCACTAGATCCATTATTTCATTATTATTTGGTTAGCATTTGCTAATTTTATCACTTAACAAAGGAAATACAGGCTCAGGCTCCAAGCCACTGACCAATATGACACAGATAAAATTTAATCACAGTTTTGTTTTCACTACATTTAAAGTTCCTTTCTCTTTATGACAAATACTTAAATACTTCATTTAAGTAAATAAAAGTTTCAATAAAAGCATATATAAATGGGCATTTCAGGGCCAGAGGTGTGGCACAGCAGAGTAAGCTGCTACTTGGGATTCCTCTGGTTAAAGGCCTGGATGCTCTGCTTCTGATCCAGCTCTCTGCTAGTGTGCCTAGGGAAGCAGCAAAGACGGCCCATTTACTTGGATGCTAGCATCCACATGGGAGACCCCGAGTTCCAGGCTCCTGGCTGCAACCTAACAAAGCCACAACCCTTGCAACCATTTGGAGAATGCACCAGGGAACTGAAGATCTCTTTATCTCTGTCTCTCCCTCTATCATTCTGCCTTTCAAATAAAACATATCTTTAAAAAAGAAGGCACTTAGATAAGGACATTGTGAGCACCAAGAAAAAGAGAACCAGAAGGCATTGTGACGATGTTTAGCAATGAAACTGAAGCAAGGAAAATATAAAGTTAGTTTAGTGAAAATTTTAGTGTAACTTTTGCTATCTATGTAAAATGAATTCTGTAAGTAATGCTATTGATCTGTTTAAGAGAAATAAGGGTGTAATTTTCCAGTTCAATGATCTGCAAAAGATCATGAAGGGGATTGCTAGGTCTCCTAGAGTGATAAACATTTAAGAAGTGCAGGGTGGGAAGTGGGGTTGGGGCCACAATGTGGCCTCTGCATTACAAAATAAAGCCCTGGATATCCTCAAAAAAAAAAAAAAAAAAGAAGGCACTTAGCCTAGCTGTTAAGATGCCCCTATACCACATCAGAGTACCTGGGTTGGTTTCTGCAATCTGGCTCCTAACTCCAGCTTCCCATCAATACAGATCCTGGGAGGTAGCAGTGATAGTTCAAGCAATGGGTTTCTGCCACCCAATGGATTGAGTTCCCAGCTCCCAGCTTCAGTCTGGTCTAGCCCTAGACATTGCAGGCATTTAGAGCACAAACCAACATCTCTCTTTTTATACCTATCTTTTCTCTTTCCATTTTTCCCTATTCACTCCTTCTATCCCTCCCTGCATGCCTCTCAAATATTCAAAATAATAACAAGAATCTACCTAAATGATTAATCTAGGCAAGTGTACTGTAGTGTGAAAAAACAGCTCCTCGATGATTAAGGATTTGAAATTTTGTCCATTAAACATGAAAGATATATATTTCTGTATAATCAATCACTCTACCTGATCTTTTAATAAATTAAAAATTGGAGGTGTATCACCCTTAATCCACATAATTCTTGCCCAATTTCCTCTGCTTTTTTGCTGGCCCCCAGTACAAACTTTACCTGATAGCCATTACCTTCTAGTATGTTTCCGAGAAAGGACAGCTATTGTTATGATAATAATAGAAAGTGATGCTTTCCAAACAATCAAAAGCTCTATGCTACTGCTTCTTAAAAATTTCAGATCTCCCGTGTTCATTTTCCAAATGCTCATTCTGAATATGGCAACTCAGTAGGTATCATGGAATATGTACCATCAACATGGCATAGTAGAAAGAACACTGAACCAGGAATCTGAAGGCAGGAGTTCTAGTTCCAGGTCTAGTTTGAACTTGTTATTTAAATAAATGTAACTCATTTCTTTGTAAAAGTATCTATATAAAAAGGAATTAAACCCATTATGTTTTTATATTTTTAGATCCTCCTAGACTTCCCAGGTTGTTTAGTGCAGATATAGACAAACGTCAAAACAGGCCAAACACCAGTTTCACAAAAGTCACTCCATATCAAAGCTGATCCTGCATCAATTTTGCTTGACTGTCTAGGGAAAGATCATAGAAGACCCATCTATTCATTCAGTTTTCACAGAGATTGTCCAAGTTAGACTCTGAAAGCAGGAATACAAAAAGAGCCAAAGGAAAAAGAGCCTGCTGAGCAATACTCGAGCAGAGCCACACTGCTCAGAAACCCAAGACCCTTCAATGATGGGCGGCTCAGGGTCTGAAGTTCACTGTGTCTGTCCCCATGGTCCTCTTGAATAGAGATCACAGAATGATGCAGTACCAAGGACACCAGACTGAGACACAAAGGCCCACTTAAGAGTCTCTCAGCCTGGCCCTGGCACCTAATAGCAGTATGGCTAAGTCACTTAATCTCTCTGGTCTTAAGGTTCCTCAATTAAAATATCAAGAATGTGTGGAGAGTAAAATATCCCATCCCAAAATGCAACTTTTTGGCATATTCCATGGTGGTTATTCAGAGAGGCTGCAGATATGGGATAGCTTTGTGAGGGAGATCTATATCTGGAGAGGACATCAACATTAGTGAAGCTTTTCCGAAGCCCCTAATCTGCCTTATCTACTCAAGAAGAAATAATATCATAACACCTTCTTCCAGAGATCACCAAAGTACATCAGATATTCTTCCAATGACTGTTACATGGGAGACTGTATCTGCATAGGACTTCTATCTGCAGTCCATTTCTTCCCCTCAACCTCTCATAACTGTTGTCATATCTCCAGGTGCCTCGAGCCTGTAAGAGGCATTTCTGTAGCTCAAAATGCTCTGTAAGGGGTGGACATTTGGTGCAGCTGTCAGGTGACCACTTGGGACTCCTACATCTCAAGGCACAGTGCTAAGTTCAAGTTCTGCCTACTCCGCTTTTAACCCAGCTTTCTGTTAATATACATTTTGGGAAGGCAGCAGATGATAGCTCAAGTATTCGGGTCCCTGCCATTCAAGTGGGAGACCTGGGCTGAGGTCCCCACTCTTGGCTGTTACAGGCATTTGAGAGGACTGAACTATTGTTCAAACTAGCTCTCTTGCTCGTGCTCTCACTCTCTGTAACTCTGCCTTTCAAATAAATAACTAAATACTTGTAAAATAAACCTATTGTTTTTCTCCTATTAATCAATTGTCAATTTATTTCAAAGACTAAAGTAATCCAATTTTCAGAGGGAAAAAAGAAAATTTAAAATTTCCCTACAAAGCAAAGTAACTCTAAGATTATATAATTACACTCGAAGATGGCCATAGTCTACTATGGGAGTCAAAACAATTCTTTCAGCAGCATTATTTTAAAAAATGCAAATAAGAGTTGTAAAACTATTTTAAAACTACTTAACATTCTCTAATCTAAATATATCCATCATATGGGGTAAAAACAAATAACGGAGTAGCAGAGTGAAGAAGATACAGAAAGAACTGCTACTAGGAAATCTTTCAACTAGAGGTCCCCATGATATTGAAAGCAAACACTTTCTTGGTTTCAACTACTCTCTGGCAGTTGCCTCCTCCACATGTGAAATGCAGTTCTCAGTGTATTTCAAGGCAAGAAAAAAAATCAACATGACCTTCATCTTCAGAATCACCCATGCAGAGCTTACCTGCATGCACCAGCACAAAGCCCCCTCGTCTGTCTTTCTGGGGCTGCTTTGTTTCCAAGTCTTTGGCTGTTACTTTAACAGCTGAAATCTGAGACAGCCCTTCTCCAGAACTCATCCCCTTCTCCATGGTCATTCTCCAAGATTACCATCTTCTACTGGAAAAAGGGCATACTTCTATCCAAAAGTAACTGCAGAACAGGAATTACCCTAGAGGAAAACAAGCAAAGATGGTATGATTTCTTTCCACTAATACTCCCATTACATTACTTACCAAAAAACCATGGAAAGGGACCTTTCAAAACTTATATTTAAAGTTATGTAACTGGGTAATACAAAGAATATAAAAAGGTTAGAACTTAAATCTGTTCACTGAGAGTAACTGCTTGAAGTCATATAAACAAAAAAAAATTATAAAAAGATCTCACAGTATTTTATCATTCTTCTACACTACGTTGAAGTTATCTTCAATATATCTTAAATATCACTTTTTACTCCCTAAGAACCAAAGGCTAATAATCTCTAGATTATTTTGGAAACACCAAGTGGTGCTGGCAACACCAATGACCCTTGATACAAAGCTTAGATTCTGATAATTTAAATAAAGGAATGGAGAGGTAGGCACTTGGGGCAGGAGTTACAACACAGCTTGGAATGTCCACATCCTACACGCAGTTCCTAGATTCAAGTCCCAGCTCTATTTCCAGGTTTCAGCTTCCTACTAATGCACATCCTGATAAGCAAAAGATGATGACCTAACTATTTGGGTCCCCGATACCCACATGAGAGACCCAGTGAGAGACCCAGACTGAGTTGAATTCCTGGCTCCCCATTTCAGCCTGGCCCAGCCAGGGCTGCTCCAGGCATTTGGGGAATGAACTCATATATGGAACATCTCTTCCTATCCTTCTCTCCCCCTTTCAAATAAAATGAAAAAATAATACAAGTTTGAATGAAGAAAATGAAGCAACATACAGATGCACACATGCTAATTCTTAATCAGTTTTATGTTCCATAGTTGAGTTGCCTAACAAAAATGCAAACAAAGGTATATGACTAAACCAAGAAATTAAAGTAACAACACTTCTGTGAATAGTCATCAATTCATGAAAAACATTATTTCTGAGGCTCTCTAAAGATAAACGAGACATAAAAGTTAATAAAACAAATTACAAATAACTTATGACACAAAGGTTCTATATTTATTTACCAGTTTAAAAGTTTAATAAAAATATTTATCACCAGTTAAAGCTTAATAACAATACCAATATAAGAACACACTTCTTTTTTTCAAAAAAAAAAAAAAAAGAACACACTTCTGATTAGGGGAAACTGGATCACTTAAAAATTGACAGAGACCAAAGAAAATCAGAGTAAGCAGGTTGAAATTATTCAATACCCAAGTTCACATCTTTAAGTAAAAATCTGCACCTTAAACTAAATTGAGAAAGGAAGAGAAAAGGCAGCAAGTTTTTCTTTTCCAATGTAAAAAACAGAAATCACTTTCAGTGTTTTGTTCCCAGGGCAGAGATACTGTGTTAACATACTAATTGCTTTAGAGACACATTTTCATAAATGATGTAAATACTTTTCACAATGCTTTTCTATTCCCTTACAATTATATTTTTGAAACAATTTTACCTGCTAAACCTAACAAAAATTTGAGTTTTCCATTTTATCTTGCACAGTTTCATATTTCTTTTTCCTTTTTTTTATTTATTTGAAAGGCAGAGTTACAGAGAGGCAGAAGCAGAGGCAGAGAGAGAGAGAGAGAGAGAGGTTTTCCATCCGCTGGTTCACTCCCCAGATGGCTGCAACGGCCAGAGCTGTGCCGATCCGAAGCCAGGAGCTTCTTCCGGGTCTCCTATGCAGGTGCAGATGCAGAGGCCCAAGGACCTGAGCCATCTTCCACTGCTTTCCCAGGCCATAGTAGAGAGCCAGATTGGAAGTGGAGCAGCCAAGACTTGAACCAGCACCCAAATGGGATGCCAGCACTACAGGCGGCAGCTTTACCCACTACACCACAGTGCCAGCCCCCACAGTTTCATATTTCAGTATGTTCTATTTTTCGTTTGAGGGAAGTTTGCATTTTACAGAAGAGTTAGGCTGCAATGGACTTAAGTTCTTAAAAAACTGGTCCCTTACACTTGAGAGTCTGAGAAGTACTGTAATATATTATTTTTAACTTCTCTTAATTCCTGATTTAAAAGGACCCATTTAATTTTTATTATTCAGCATTTCACTTGAAGGAAAAATAGATTAGATATACATACACACACAGTGTTACATTAAAATGTTTATACATATAATCATATATGCAGGAAAACTTTTTATTTATTACAAAAAATTGAATTTACAATTATAAAAACTGTAAAATTACAAAAATTTTGATGTTGATCAAATAACAGTAAATTTAACACTTGCTCTTGTTTTTATTTTGTGTGCTAATTGTCTTCCTAATGATGGTTTTCGTCCAGTGATCTCACAAGGATCTGCTTCAATTACCTTTATTTGGTTAATTTCTCACATTTCTCTGAAATAGTTTACCATTTCTGTATTTTCAGGTGACAAAGTAGAACTGAGTGATTCATTTGCCAGCCCACATGTGCCACCATGTCTGGCACAGCCAGAAAAAGAGCTAAAAACACAAACATAAGATTATGTTGAACACAAAGGCTTAGCAAAATTAAGAGGTTCAATAAAAATAAAAACAAATCCAAGCAGCTACTCTGACTCACTGACGTGATTATTTTTTCACAGTGACATTTACCTTTTATAAAAAGTGATAAATTATAACATCTTTATTTTATAATAAGGTTGATGTAATAGGTATTTTAATATGAGATTTAAAACTTTCTTCTCAAGGTTGTCTAAAAAGTTAATAAAGTGTGAAGATGAATCAATCAGTATGCTATTTCTTAGTCAATGTGTCCTCCCTCAGACACTATCTGAAATATAATTAGCTATCAACACTTATCATTTCAACAAATCCCTCCAAAAATGTTGGCTCCAAAGCTGTGCTGGAAAGAACTCAATTAGATAGACTGTTCAATATGCATTTCTGGCTCCCAACTCCCAAAAATGTTTAATTCTATCAGAAATGAAGTTACTTCCACCCCAACATGACTTTATAACTCAGAACACATTAGATGTCTGTATTATTTAATAAATAAAGTTCCAACAAATGGTGAAAAGACAACAAAACAGGTAAGATGGATAGATCTCAGTTTACAGAAAAAAAAATTATATAATTGATTATACAGAAAGGATGCTAAATTCATTCAAAAGAAAGATACAAAATAAAATTACATTCAAATACCACTTTTTAACTTAGATTGACAAACATCAAAAATACAGACAACGTGTTTTGAGGACACAGAGAAACAGCAGTTCTAAATAGCTACCAGCAATATACAGTGGTACACCTAAATAAAGACAATTTGGCAAAAATCACCCAAAATTAAGATATGGGTCAGCAGTATGTCTTCATGGAAGTGGTTAAAAATAAAAGCCGCCACTGGAAAGAAAGAGAAAGCTCATGATACACAGATATTTTTAATAATCTCAAAGATATTTAGGAAGTAAAATAAAAAGGCACAGGGGGCTGGTGCTGTGGCATAGTAGGCTTAGCCTCTGCCTGTGGTGCCAGCATCCCACATGGACACTGGTTAGCATTCCAGTTGCTCTTTTTCAGTTCCAGCTCTTCGATAATGGCCATGGAAGGCAGTGGAAGATGGCCCAAGTGCTTGGGCCCCTGCGTGCACGTGGGAGACCCTGAAGAAGCTCCTGAGTCCTGGCTCCTGGCTTCAGATTAGCCTAGCTCCAGCCATTGAAGCCATTTGGGGAATGAACCAATAGACAGAACACCCCTCCTTCCCTCTCTCCCTCCCCCCCCTCCCCCTGTCTGAAACTCTACATTTCAAATAAATAAATAAACCTTTAAAACAAAAAAGCACCGAAATAATTAACGAAAATTAAAAAATTTTAAAGGAAAGGTATAGAAGTATATACAGAATCACATTGGAAGGAGAGGAGAACAGAGATAAATATAAATATATAGTATAAGGAGAGCTAAATATACAGTATACATCTGGAAGGATCTATCAAAAAATAAAACAGTAATGCTTACCAGAAGGAGATAGGGAGTACTAATGAACCAGGGTGCAAACAAAATTTCACTGTTCATCCTTTCATATTTTTATTTTGAATCATCAGAACATATTCTTTTTTTTAAAGGTATTTTCAATTAGTTCAGGTTCCTGGAAGCCTCTTTTTTTTTTAACTTTTATTTAATGAATATAAATTTCCAAAGTACAACTTTTGGATTACAATGGCTTCCCCCCACCCCCATAACTTCCCTGTCACCACAACCCTTCCCTCTCCGGCTCCCTCTCCCATTCCATTCACATCAAGATTCATTTTCAATTATCTTTATATACAGAAGATCAATTTAGCATATATTAAGTAAAGATTTCAACAGTTTACACTCACAAAGAAACACAAAGTGTAAAATACTGTTTGAGTACTAGTTATAGCATTAAATCACAATGTACAGCACATTAAGGACAGAGATCCTACATGAGGAGTAAGTGCACAGTGACTCCTGTTGTTGACTTAACAAATTGACACTCTTGTTTATGGCGTCACTAATCACCCTAGGCTCTTGTCATGAGTTGCCAAGGCTATGGAAGCCTTGAGTTCACCGACTCTGATCTTATTTAGGCAAGGTCATAGTCAAAGTGGAAGTTCTCGCCTCCCTTCAGAGAAAGGTACCTCTTTCTTTGATGGCCCGCAGAACATATTATTTTTAAAAGCTACTTTCATTTTCTCTTTCTTTAATGGAAACACTAGTTAACAAGCTCAAGAACAACAAGCCTAGGAAATCTCACAAATTGCAGTAAGCAGGGTATTGTCACATTTTTGAAGCTTCTGAACATGCATCCCATCAAGAGAAGGAACACAAAAAAAACACAGCCAGCGCTGTGGCTCACTCGGCTAATCCTCCACCTGCAGCACCAGTATTCCAGGTTCTAGTCCCAGCTGGGGCACCGGTTCTGTCCCGGTTGCTCCTATTCCAGTCCAGCTCTCCACTGTGGCCCAGGAAGGCAGTGGAGGATGGTCCAGGTGCTTGGGCCCTACACCCGCATGGGAGACCAGGAGGAAGCACCTGGCTCCTGGCTTCAGATCAGCGCAGCGCGCCGGCCATAGCAGCCATTTGAGGGGTGAACCAACGGAAGAAGACCTTTCTCTGTCTCTCACTGTCTAAAATCTGCCTGTCAGGAAAAAAAAAAACACACACACAGCCAATCACAAATACTGACCAAAGGGTCCTTTCTAGTTTTCTGGTTTTGTGTTTCTGGATCTTGAACTTCAGGCAGCAAACTACTGACAATCCAAACTTGGAGGGGGGGAATGGATAAAATACAGTATTTTCTCTCTACAGTTAAGATTAGGGAGTGAAAAAAAAATCACGACTGTAGGTTAACATCAAAAATCACTGCAATGAGGGTAGGCATTTGGTCTATGGTTACACCACTGCATGGAAGGACCAGTGCCATGCATATGAGGCTAAGCAGTGCTGGCTTCCCATATGGGTACCAATTTGAGTTCCAGCTACTCCACTTCCAATACAGCTCCCTGTTAATGGCCTGGGAGGGCAGCAAAGGACGACCCAAATGCTTGGGCCCCTACACCCACGTGGGAGACCCCAAAGCTCCTGGCTTTGGATCAGCCTAGCTCCAGCTGTTGCAAGCTATTTGGGGAATGAGTCAGCAGATGGAAAATCTTTCAGTCTCTGTATCTCCCTCTCTTTGTAACTCTTTTGAATAAAATAAATAAATCTTAAAAAAAAATAAATAAATAAAAGACATTGCATGAGAGTGACTGGGTTGAAGCCTGCTTCTGATTCCAACTTCTAATACACATGGGAAGGCAGCAGGTGATGGCTCAAATACTTGGTCCCTGCCACCCACACAAGAGACCCAGATTGAGCTCCTGGCTCCTGTATTCACCTGCCCAGGCCCAACTGTTGAAGGTATCTGGGGAGTAGAGCAGCAAATGGACTCCTCTGTCTGTGTGTGTGTGTGTGTGTGCGCGCACATGTCTGAGTCTATTTCAAATAATTGTGTAAAAATTTATTTCTGTTATGTTTTCATATTTTATCAAATTTGTCATCATTACAAATCATTCAAAATGGATAAAGCATACTTTGATGCTCAAGAAAAATGTCTTAACACTTGAGCTAAGTTTTAAGGTAACTCAACACAAAAAAAATTCCAATGAAAGAAGATGTACATTTCATGTTACACATGTAACATTTTTTAGAATAAAAACAATTCTATGGGTCACTTTTATAATGCCTTTATTTCCAAATAATGATCTGAATGTGGACATTTTGTAGTTTCCTACCTGTAGTGATATTAAAATCATTGTGATTATTTCTAAATACTATCAACTTGTCTATCATCTGCAATAGTTCTTCAAAAAGTTAATCACAGAGTAATCATAAGAACTTGCAACTCCTAACTATTAAGAAAATACCCAAAAGAACTAAAAACATATTTTCCCACACAAACTTTTACACAGATATTTACCAAATAAGAAAAAAAAAAGCCTAAAGGTGGAAATGGCCATCACTGACAATGGAGAACAAAATGTGGTGTATTTGTACAGTGGAACACAGAAAGGAATGAAGTGCTGATACATGCTATGGCATGAGTGAACACTGGAAACGATGAAAGCTACACACAAAAGGCCACATATTACAGTATTTCATTTATATGAAATATCCAGAGGGGCCAGAGTTGTGACACAGCAGGCTAAGCTGCCACCAGCAACATCAGCATCACATATGGGTGCCAGTTCAAGTTCCGGCTGCTCCACTTCTGATCCAGCTTCCTGCTAATATGCCAGGGAACGCAGCAGAGAATGGCTCAAACACTTGGGCCCCAGCCACACATGTGGCAGACCAGAACAGAGTTACAGGGTCTTGGCTTGGACCTGGCCCTGTTCCGGCCATCGCAGTCATTTGGAGAGTAAACCAGCAGGTAGATCCATCTCTCTTTCTCTCTCTCCCTAACTCAGTCCTTCAACTAAATAAATTAATCTTAAAAAAAAAAAAAAAAAAAAGAAAGAAATGTCTTCTTGGCAAACCCAAAATAAGCTCATCTTCTCCATCTCAAATTACTCATTTTTCTTAATAGCATTACCCTTTTCCAAACCACTTTGAAGTCATTTTGGAATGCACCCAAGTTGCCAAATCAATTAGATTTCTCCCTAAAGCATTTAATTTCCTTTTCATTGACTCTTGTTCTATATACCGATATACCTCTCAGCATAAATTCTACAAAAAGCACTTTAACTTTCCTCCCCAAATACAGGTTACAGTAAAGCAACCACCTACAAAAGGCTGCCAAAACAAATATCATAAAGGACAACTCCAACTAAAAATACTATGCCAAAAGGCATAAGCAAACAAGATATAAGAGTAAATATAAACTGAAAATCCAACATTAAAGAAAGAATGTTGAAGAATTAAAATCATAAAGGAAATTTACCTCACTAGCACTGTCCTGGCATCATAAGCTGATGTAACCATTTTGAAAAGAAATCTGTTTATAAGTATCCAGAGCCTTAAAATGTATCATTTTGCATATACCATCTTTCCTGAGATATTCCAGGTGTAGACTAGTTTACACAGATACAAGGTAACAGTACCAAGGATCCTCCAAGGAGAACTAGAAGACAGTGACAAGGACATGGGAAACTGGATTTTCTAATAAACCTTTTTTTACTCAATAATATCTACTAAAAACAATTTAAGAATGTCATCTCTGAGACCAATATGAATATAAATTAAACCTTGATTATCAAGGCCAGGATAAAGACTCAGGATAGAACACTGTTTTTACCTCTCAGGGACTTGTATGGAACTAATTTAAGGATCTAAATCCTGATCTCATGTCTCTCTTATTTTCCTACTGCATGTGATGACACTATTTTTTTTTTTCTACCACTTAGGAAATGTCCACATATCCTGTTACTACAGTGTTGAGGTTTTTTTGCTCTAGGTTTGCTCACTCTTTCAGAACCAGTTGAAGGATGAAGGAAGTCACGGAATCCATCTTACAGCAAGCCTTTTACAGAAATTCACCTGTAAACTATTTCAACTGATGAATAAAACTTTTTATTTCTTTTATCACCATGACACTGAAGGTTTAGTGCATCATTAAATGACCTCCAGAACATACATAAGTTCATCTTTGATCCAGCAATTTTGATCCAGTAATCCACTTCCAAGAATGCTTTCTACCAAAATAACTTTAAAGACAGAAAATATTTTAAGCCTTCCATGCTATGTTTAACACAAGATAATTTAGAATAATAAAAAATTTAGGAGCAACCTACATGTCCAACACAGAGAAATGGTTAAGAAAATGGTAACTATTGGTAAATCGCTTTTCAACAAGGAAGCCAGTGCCATTCAGTAAGAAAAGGACACTCTTCCACAAATGGTGCTGAGAAAATTGGATATCCTCATGCAAAAGAATGATATAAAAATTAAGTAGGTCAAAAACCTCTTATAATGAGTTAATACTATAAAACAAAATATTGAGATTAATCTCAGTGACTCTGGATTTGACAATGGTTTCTAGATATAACACAAAAGGCACAAAGCAACCAAAGGGAAAAAAATTGGTAAGTTGAACTTAACCAAAATTTTAAACTTTTGTTTTTAAAAGACATCATTCAAGAAAGCGAAAAGACAACTCACAAAATGGGAGAAAATACTGCAAATCATGTATGTAATAAGGGCCTTGTGTCCAGATTACAGAAAAAAACTCATACAACTTCAAAATAAGAGAACTTAAAAAAGAGCAAAGGAATAGACAGTTCTCCAAAGACACACAAAAGAAATAGCACATGAAAAGATGTTTAACATGGTTAGTCATCACAGAAATGCATATCAGAAGTACAACGAGCCACCACTTCAGACACCAAGATGTTTATGACAGAAAATAAAAGTATTAGCAAGAACCAGAGAATACAAACTACTCTAATGTACTGAAAGGAAGGTAATCTGGTACAGCCACTATCAAAAACACTCAGCAATACCTCAAAAAAGTTCAACAAAGATTCCACCATGACCCGGTGACCCCATTTCTAGGTATAGACCCATACTAACTCAAAATGTTTTTCCACACAAAAATTTACACAAGGATGTTTCTGAAACTGTGAGAAAAAGCCAAAAGGTGAAAACAAGCCAGACATCCATCAACTGATGGTGGACAAGCAAAATAGGTGGTACATTTCCATTCATGCAATGGAACACCAACCATCCATAAAACAATAATGAAATACTGATAGACACGGATGAACCTTGAAAGCACTGTGCTACCTGAAAGAAGCTAGACACAAGGGGCCACATTTTATGATTCCACCTACATGGCATGTCCAAAACAGGAAAATCCACCGTACTGACTGCAAGGCCTGGGTGGAAGAGGTGGGCAAGAAGAGGAGAATCTAATGGAGAGTGACCACTGTAAGCACAGAATTTTTTGGTGGGGGAGGGGGTGATTAAAATGTTCAGGAATTAAACAGCAATGATGAACATACAACTTCGTGACTATATTAAAAACCAGTGCATTTTACAACTTAAAAGGATTAATTGTATGGCATGTGAAATATATATCAAAAAACTGACAATCTAGCCATGCGATAGATGCAATGTACACAAATTATGTTTTTCAGTTACAACCGTATATTATACTATAATCACAGACTAACGTTCATACAAAATCAGAACAAATGATGGGTTCGTAGAACCACAGATAATCTCTTAAGTATGCCTGCATTTCCAGTTATTCTTTAATATCCACTGCTTTTTTAAGTGGTGGAGAAAAGCTTTATTTACAACAAACAAAAAGGGAAATTATCCAATTCCCAAGTGTATGAGCAAAAATTCCTTAGCTTATTATTCAACGATCTCAGTCACAGGGTCCCCAATATACCTTTCTTTCCCCTCCCCTACAGAAGCAAGTCAGGTTGAGCTCCCTCCTTCCGGAAACACGATGCCCTTTATTGCCTGGGCACCTCCAGTTCCTGCTTTTCGCCCTCCTCGCCAGCTGCTCCATCTTCTCGGTGCTTTACTCCTCCTGTGCCAGGGCAGTAGACACTCAGGTCCCACAGGATTCTAACCGGACCTCTATTACACTACACGGGGCTGCCTTGCCGCCAACCCGCCACCCAAGGCTAAGGGTACACACTTTCGGATCTCTGTGAGCCCCGGACTGCAAGGCTGGTGAGGGCTCTGAGAACTCCCAGACAGTCCTTCCCCGCGACTCCGCAGAAGCGAAGAGGCCGCCAAACCGGAGACTGGGGTGGGTTAAGGTCTGACGCTGGCCCCACGCGAGACCGAGACAAGAGACATCCCAGGCCCCCGACTCCAGCCCCGCCCCGGGCAAGGGCTTCCAGCGCGCTGTCCCCTCCTGGCCCCAGAGAGCAAGTCCCAGCGAGCCTACGGGACCCACACCCAAGCAAGGCGGCAGCAGCCGCACGGACAGCGTGAGAAAGAGAGACACTCACCAGCTCCAGCCCCGAGCCCTCACTGCACCGGAAGTAGTCACCCGCTCGTTGCCAGGGTGAGGAAGCGGGGATGACGCTACGCCCTTCCATTGGCCGTGCATGTCGAACACGTGACCGGAAGCGCACGCCCACGCGCTACTCCGACTCCGCCCTTGCTCCCTAGTTGCTCACCTGGCCCCAGAGGTGCGGTGCTAACGCCGCCTCGGGCTAAGTCCTGAGCTTTGCAGGTGCCATTACTTATCTTTCCATGGACCCTGCTCCTTAATTAGGCTGCAGAACATGACTTTCTAATCGGAGCGGTTGGTCCACTGTCGGTGTGCTATGAAATAAATTAAGCTGGCTATGATTAATTGAAGTTTTGTTTAAGAGCCCAGTTTCACACAATTCTTAGAGCCTCCCTGTAAATTCTGTCTGGATTGCGTGTGGTAGGTGGGGGCCACGCTTGCACTAGGCAGGAGTAAAGGAGTAGCCTTACTTTTACTGTCTAGGATCTAAGATCAAGACCTGGGAACATTTGTGTAATCTCTGTAATGTTTCCTTGTAACCATTAGCATGAAATGTTTATGATGTAACCTGTTCTAGGGCGGCAAAGACTGAAAGTAGAGCAACACAAGTTGAGTATCCCTTATCTGAAATGCTTGAGGCAAAAGTGTTTCGGATTTGAGATTTTGGATTATTTTGAAATACATAATGAGATACTTTGGAATCCTGCTCTAAACACAAAATGCACTTATGTTTCATATGTGTAGCTTGGAGGTGATGTTATACAATTTTCAAAATAACTTTGTGAATGAAACGAAGTTTCATGGTGTTGAATTTTCCATTTGTGATGTCATGTTGGCTTTCAAAGAGCTTCAGATTTTGGACCATTTCAGATTTCGAATTTTCAGATTAAGGATGTTCAGACAGGACTTCTCGAAATGTGGTCTCCAGACCATCAGCTTTATCTAAGTTTGTACTAAAAATGCAAATACTTAGGTCCTTCATCAGATGCAACTAAATAAATCAGAAACTTTGGGTTTGAGACGCAACAAGCCAGTTTAACAAGCCCTCCAGGTGATTCTAATGCACCTAAAATTTGAGAGCTACTGAGCTACATGACTTTCTCCTTCCCCTGGTTGTAGAGATGAAGTAGGAAGAGTGATACACTGAGCTCCTCATAAGAGAACAATGCAACAAACTTTCAGGCCTTCAAAAACTCAAAACTGGAAAAGCAGTGGGACATGGTCCAATTGCTTGGGTCCCTGCCACCCACCCGGGAAACCCAGATGGTGTTCCAGGCTCCTAGCTTCAGCCTGGCCAGCCCTGGCTGTTGCAGCCATTTGGGGAGTAAACCAGCAGGTAGAAAACCCTTTCCCTTTCCCCAACCCCTCCCCTCCCCCCTTTTCCTCCTTCCCCCTCTTCTTCCCTCTCCCCCTCTTCCTCTTTCCTTTCCTCTCCCTTTCAGATAAACACACATCTTTAAAAAACATTTTAGTTGGCCGGCAATGCGGCTCACTAGGCTAATCCTCCACCTGTGGCACTGGTACCCCGGGTTCTAGTCCCAGTTGGGGCACTGGATTCTGTCCCCGTTGCTCCTTTTCCAGGCCAGCTCTCTGCTGTGGCCCGGGAGGGCAGTGGAGGATGGCCCAAGTGTTTGGGCCCTGCACCCGCATGGGAGACCAGGAGGAAGCACCTGGCTCCTGGCTTCTGATCAGCGCAGTGTGCCAGCCGTGGCAGCCATTTGGGGGGTGAACCAACAGAAAAAGGAACACCTTTCTCTCCCTCTCTCTCTCTTTCTTTCTCTCTCACTCACTGTCTAACTCTGCCTGTCAAAAAAAAGAGTTAAAAAACATTTTAGTCATAATAGTCTTCAAAGTTGATAAATAAGGAAAATAAATAGGAAAATGATTTTAGATTTGAAAGGGAATGTAGGAACTTATGTTAAATTAAGTGGTTTAAATAATAAAAAATAAAAGCAGTGGTTAATGCTCAAGTCAACAAAATATAAACAGTAGTAGTGGAAAGCTTAAGACCAAGGATTCTGGATCCATGAGAATCAAGGTTCATAGTCAGTCTTGTCACTTACCAACTGTGTCACCTTAAACAATTTACTTAATCTTTCTGTGATTCCATTTCTACATTTGTAAAATGGGAATAATAATAGTACCACTTATACAGTTGTGTGGACTAAATAAGTTACTATGAGAATACTTCAAAAATTTTATGGAAATGGGTTAAAAATGTTTATTTTGGTGCAAAAATGTTGAAATCCATGCTTATAAGAAATGTGTTAGAAAATATCAGATTCACAGTAAGTAATCGATAAATGCTAGTCTGAAAAAGAAAACACCCATTATGTTATAAGAACAAGCTGGCTTTGGAAACAGGTGAAGCAGCAAGGAGGGGCGGGAGAATGCCAGCCAAAGTAAAAGGCCTGGAGAGGACTGTCCCTGAGCGCTTGAAGGGAGGCAAGGAGGCGTAACTGGAAGCTGGAGAATAGGGGCCTTTGTTCTGTGGTGCCAGAAAGTTTGGCCCAGATACAAACCATTGACACTGTGGCCTTCCTGAATTCTTGACCCTCATAATCCATGAGCATGATAAAAATGGCTGAGTTTAGGCCGGCACTGTGGCATAGCATGTAAAGCTGCCGCCTGTAGTGCTGGTCTCCAATATGGGCACCAGTTCGAGACCCAGCTGTTCCACTTCTGATCCAGCTCTCTGCTACAGCCTGGGAAAGCAGTAGAAGATGGCCCAAGTCCTTGGGCCCCTGCACCCATGTGGGAGGCCCAGAAGAAGCTCCTGGTTCCTCGCTTCGGCTTGGAGCAGCTCCAGCCGTTGAGGCCAATTTGGGGGAGTGAACCAGCATATGGAAGACCTCTCTCTCTCTTCCTGCCCCCCCCCTTCTTTCTCTGTGTAATGCCTTTCAAATAAATAAATCTTTTTTAAAAAAATGGCTGGGCTCTTATGCCATTACAGTTATTTGTTTGTTTTTACACTGCAGTGCTAACTTGAACAGGTAGGAATAAAGGGGGAAAAAGATGCTCATCTTGTAAAATGCATCAAAATGCCCCTTCCAAATCATGGACAATGTTAGCCTCCACTGTGTTCCCAAAATTTAGCTACATTAAGATAAAGACTCCCAATACTGCTCTGCCCACCTTTATCTTGGATATCCCACCCAGATGCCGCACTTGTCATCCCCCTTAATGTACCTAAATAACAAAATTCAATCAAGCCCACCATCGGACCCAATTTTCCAAGCTGCTAAACTGTATTGGGTGGAGTTGCTCTAAGGACTAGAACAAACAGTTAGGTGCAGCTGGTTAGGCTGCTGCCTGTGACATCTGCATCCCATACAAGCACCAGTTCGAGTACTGGCTGCTCTACTTCCTATCCAGCTCCTTGTTAATGTGCGTGGGAAAACAGTGACAGATGGCCAGAGTACTTGAGCTTCAGCCACCCACAGAAGAGACCTGGATGGGGTCCCAGGCTCCTGGTTTTGGCCTGACCCAGCCCCAGCCCCAGCTAACACAGCCATTTCAAGAGGGAACCAGGGGATGAAAGATCTCTCTCTCCCTCTCTTTGTCTCTAACTCTGCATTATAAATAAATAAATCTTTTAAATTACATTTAAGCTTTTATCTTTTAAAATGAGAAAGTTATAAAGAGAGGGAGAGACAGAGATCTTTGACCCATTGGTTCACTCCCCAGATGTCTGCAACCAGGAGCCAGGAGTTTCATCTGGGTCTCCCACGTGGACAGCAGGGGCCCAAACGTCAACTCTTTCCCAGGCCATTAACAGGGAGCTGCATCAGAAATGAAGCAACAGGAACGTGAACAAGTGCCCATATGGCAGGCAGAGGCTTTTCCTGTTATACTTGCCCTATTTTTTAAAGATTTGTTTATATATTTTGAAAGCATAGCATCAGGCGGTTGGGGGGGGGGGGGAGAGAGCAGGAGACATGGAGAAAGAGAAAGACAGCACTCTCTCTTCTGGCTAACTCCCCAAATGACTACAACAGCCTGGGCTAGGCCAGGCCAAAGCCAAGAGCCAGGAACTCCATGCAGGTCTCCCATATGAGTAGCAGGGTCCCAAGCACTTGGGCCATTGTTCAATGTCTTCCTGGATGCATTAGCAGGAAGCTGGATTAGAAGCAGAGCAGCTGGGACTCTAACCAGCACTTCAATATGGGATGTCAGCGTCACAAGTGGTAACTTAACTCACTGTTAAAGGCCATATTGGCCTTTAATCCAATATGGCATCTTTCTAAGAAAAGGAAATCTAGACACAGACACACAAAGGGAGAGCAGCGATGGAGCTACAAGAACTGACATCTATCACCACAAGCTAAGCAGGAAGCACACAACCCAGAGTCACAGCAGGAATATGGCATTGCTAAGACCTTGAATTTTAACTTGGAGCCTCCAGAACCATGACAGAACAGATTTCTCTTGTTTTAAACCATCCAGTTTGTTGCACTTGATCATGACAGCCCAAGGAAACTCATACAGAAGAATTACAAACATGGCTGCTGTGGCAATTCTAGAACACATCTTTTGCTACAGCCCCGCACACATTCTGTACACTCAGTTTTAGATGCTGACTTTGTCAGCTAAGCAGTTTTTCCTTAGGGTCTCTCGTAGTTATATGGCAACTGGGGTTCAAGTCGTCTGAAGGCTTCTTCACTAACATGTCTGATGCCGGGCCAGGGTTAGCTAGAGCAGTTGGAGTTGGTTGGAGAGCTCATTCTCTCCATGTAGCCTCTCCAGGTACCTTAGATTTCCTTACAACATATAGGTCACAATGTAGTTGGATTTCTTGTAAGGGAGCTGACCTCCCACTGTGTAATATTGTAAGAAAAAGCAACTGGAAACTGCCTACTCCTTTAAATTGGTCCCAGAACTAGCAGAACTCCACTTACACTGCATAGAAGTCTAGTTAAGGGCCAGCTTCAGGGGCCAGCATTGTGGTGTAGTGGGTGAAACCACTGTTTGTAATGTCA